ATTGACTTTTCTCGGGCCTTCGATAAAATTAATCACTCCTGAAAAATAATTTAAATAATCATAATCATATAATCATATAATCATACAATCATATAATCATATTCCCTAAACTCATAGAAATTATTCTGAAGAACCAAATAGGGAAAAAAACAGTTTTCTGAGCCACAACCAATTTGGTTTACTTAAGGGTAATTGGAAAGTTATCTTACTATGGTTTTAGAGGAACTGAAATACACTTATTGAATCCTATCTGAAACAGTGATACCAACGAGTCTGTTACAGGAATGTTTGGCAAAAATAGATTTAGAGAAGAATACCTTTGAATATATGCAGGTTGCCCATGGTGTATTTTCTGATGACACAACTTCAATTAGTTCCGGCTAGCAGTATCATGAACTAACTTATAACTTATTAGGCTATGTTTCTTTTGAGGGTAGATCTAATGAGTGGTTACAGAAAAACAATCAACTTGTGATGCACTGTTTGGAACCTTTGGTGTAGTAATGTATATTACTGGAGTTTTATCCTAATACCAAACCATTATTTTTAACACCTCTACACGTGTTTCGATCACCAAGTGATCATCTTCGTCAGGAAGATTAAGTTAAAGTTTAATATTCCCCTTGAAGATGATCACTTGGTGATCAAAACACGTGTCGAGGTGTTATAATAACGGTTTGGTGTTGGGATAAAACTCCAGTAATATTCAGTAGAGTCTTACTTTTTTTATCCAGTACATATCAGTTTAAATTAGTTTTACATTGTAATATATTGTCTTTTTATTTACACATGTTCAAATTTGAACTTCACTCAAATAATTTGTATCAACCCATAATGTTTCGTATTGGTGTGACTTTTCCAGTTACTAGAATATACTTGTGATTATTAAATTATTATTATTAGACTATTTCAAGTTATTCAGCTCAAACAGAAATACATCTTAAACAATATTATCAATAATGTCTTTTGTGTCATCACATGTCATTATGTGATAAGAAACTGTGTTAGTTTATTTTCAATATTTTAAAAAGAGTGGGGTAGTGGGGAAGCCGTCCATCACAATCCACCGACTTTTTTTTTGATCGATCTGATGTACACTGATTGATTTCAACGATGGAAATTAAACGCTTTCTTGACAATTCAATGAAGTAACTTATGAATTCAAGAACTGTTACAAACTTCCCAAAAACACTATGAAGTGAAAGTGGAAAAAAGGGGAAAAGAAAAAACTACCAAGCTACATACTCTACGGCGTTTCAGTTGTTAGTATCCACAATCATCTTCTGATGAATCATTGTCAATAATATTTTTCTGACCCATATTATTAGTTCACGTCCACATCAGAGAAATCGTTTGTTTTCTCCACAAACTAGCTTTCCTCTTATTTCATACTCATTTTTTTTCTTATTTTTTTTTATATAATTTCCATCTTTTTCAACTAACTCATTCAAAATAACTGTTCTTTTATGTGTCAAATGAGTCAACTCTTTTAGTCAGTCATCTGTTTATAAAACTAAATAAAACGTTTGGTTTTTTTTTCAGATCAATGGAATAAGATACTTCCAACCAGAGGCTCCTTCATAATTGACTAGGGAACACTCTTCAATGGAATTGAGTGGTATAACCCAGTGATAAGTTGCAATATATTTTTGACTAAGCTTAAAACAATTGTACATGTGCCAACTGGTTATTTGTTAGGATAAGCTTAATGATAATGATAATATGAACCCCGCTGCCTTCGTTTATTTTGTCACAAAAATAACACTTTTGATGGAGATTGGTTTTGACCATACCTACACTGTAAATATATATATATAGTTTCAACATTCGTTAAAAAGTGAATGTATTGCTATATTTTTCAAATTTAGTTCAAATCAATTTATAGTTTTGATATTGGACTATTACTGTTTCCTGATTCATATTGTATTATTAATCATTTGATCACCATCTCCAAAAGAAGTCTAGCAATTGAAACCAACCTTCATTGTAAAATATGATATGTGAAATATGTTAAGTTTGAACATTCATATACGATGTTATTATGAAAATATTTTGAAATTGTTGATATGTCCCTATTTTATTCTAGTTGGATAATCCTTAGTTTTTAAGTCAGTAGCATACATACTATATGAATACAAACCAGTAGGGTAATCACAGTTGAATATTCATACAAATGATCTTTGAGTTGTTACTTTTTTTCACTTAATTCTTGCAAATTTGTAGTGTTGCATCAAAGTGGAATTATTGCCTTTTATTTGTTGAGTAGAAAGCAATAGTGCTTTTGTTTCGTGAATATTGTGAAGACCGAATATGTATTTATGATTCACAACTGGGAGGATGAAAACATTTGGGGTATTCAAAATTCTAATTATTCAATGAAAATATTTTTATAATCCCTGTTTGAGGTACAAACAATTTGGTAGTGACTTGTTTTTTCATCATTCCTTCAGAAAATATTTTCAATTAATTTTCATTTCTTTTTCCAAAATTATATGTCATCTCAAAGTTATAACACTTGATCAGTAATATTCCAAACTAAGGTATAAGTAGAAAAACTAATGATTTGACTTTGATTTTATAAAGCAATTCTTCCTTTAATTATTGACTCAACCATAACCCCTGAATTACATTTGCATTTTATTATTATATCATATATTCAAGCATAACCTAACTCATGTGCATTCTTCATTAACTTTGGTAAAAAAATATCAAGTAAATTTTGATAATAGTGACATTCACCTTCATTGGAGTTGATTATCTTGTAAATTTCTCCATTATAATTGCAAATATAAAAATTGTTCAAGGACTTCCAATGATTTTCATCTAATTGTACAATTCTCTGAGCTTTTTTGCAATAGGAATACTAATAATAAATGTTTCCCAAATTATGTGACATTCAATTTTCAAATTATTTTCAACTACTTATTGCGTATTTCAAAATAAACTTATTTTTTACCATTATTTGCCACTTGTCACAAATTTATTTTTCATAAAGAGAGCCAAACAAAAATGTTACAAAATAAGTAATCAGATATGATGAAACATTTACCGTGTTGTTAATAGAGGACCACTCAAATCAAATTGTTTTGTTATTTTTTAATCTTATTCAATTATTTCAAAAGACTATTTTAATAAAGGCTGATTTCGATCAGCTGATAGTTTCAGCTGTTTTCAACTGGTATATTTTATATGAAATTTCATTGTTGTTCTCATGAAATGTAAAAGTTGCAAAATAAACTGTTACTGCAAATAAAGTGAACCAAAACCATTTATTTGTAAATTCATCCTGACAATTGCAAAAATGCACATGACTAATTTATTATTTGACTATATAAATGACAATGCTGGGAGTGTTGTTACATTCAATATTTCCAGATAATTAGACTTTCTAAAATACATATACTGGTTTATTTTTCACACTAGTAATACACTGTCCATCTTGTATATCTTTTTATTTCAGAGAGCGTCCCCCTTAATATACAAAATACACAAAACATTTTTGAACTAGAGTTCAAAACATTGTTGACAAATCTCTTATATTTAAACGGCTCAATATTTCCCCCTGTTTAAATAATAGAAATAATTATTGACGAAATATTTAAAAAAATGTACAACTATAAATGAACAAATCCTTTCTAATGATAGTTAACGTACAATTTAACAAATTTTCATTAAACATCTCTTGTACATATACAGGGTCCTGCAACAGTGGCGCGGTGTTCCATATCTCTATTTAGGAAACAGATAGAAATGTAAATTTCTATAATATTACCTTATTGCTCGAGCTCGACAAAATAAAAATATTGGCGGTCACATAGGGTGTTAATTTTTTTCTGGGCCGATCCCAACTGTGTTTTCTTCAATGGCATCCTATATTTTTCATTGCTTTTTCGATTTCTACATATAAAATAAAAGACACTTTATGCATATCTTCATTTCGAAAATATTGTTGGTTTTCGAGATATCTAGATCAAAAGTTTTTTTTTTCAATATTCGTCACTCAGAATATTTGAAATTATAAAGTTGTGCCAAGTCCAATTGAATTTTTCTTTTGGTTAAATATTCTACAGTGGTAATTCTCTCAAACGATGGATGGAAAAGTCCAGATTTGTGGGCTATTTATTGACTTTTCTCGGGCCTTCGATTGTGTCAATCATGACCTCTTATTAATTAAGCTTGAGGGTTATGGTATAAGGGGTGTAGCTACGAATTTAATGAAATCATACTTAACTGATCGATCCTAGAGTGTAATCATCAACACAACTCAGAGTCAATCTCTCATTGTTTAGTAGGGAGTTCCCCAAGGCTCAATTCTTGGACCTTTGTTATTTTTAATCTATGCTAATGATCTCATTAATTTCCTTCTTGACATCTCTAAAGTCCAAGTAATATCATATGATGACGAGACAAATCTACTCATAACTGGTGAAGATACTACTGAACTTGTAACATCAGAAATGGTATACAATAAAGTAATGGAGTGGTCCGAAATAAATCGTCTAACGGTAAATGGTTCTAAAACCTCTTTGATGAAATTCACTTTGAGGGGAACTATGGAACAGTTTCAAATTTTTAAGGATAATGACATGAATGTCATTATCCTTATATACACAATAAGTAATAAATAAATGATTTATAAACAGTAACACATATTAAAAAAGAAAAAAATTGAATTGTTTTGTCATTTTTTTAAACACATATATGTTTTTACAATTTTTCACAGTCGGGTGAAATATTGAAAACTTTGCATCCATTCACTTCATAACTTTTGTGAAAGAGGGCAGTACTGGTAGTAGCAACTGTTTTCCTCTAGTGTTATAGTTATGTAAACGTTCAGCCATATTGCTAGATCTTTGTTTAAAAACATGCACACAGGCTTCTAGGATATAGGTCCCTGTCACTGTTGAAATGTTTAATTCTTTAAAAAAATGTCTGCACGAATTTCTAGAGCTTAGTTTTGCCAGTATTCTTATGGCAGATTTCTGTAGAGTAAATACTCTATTTATAGAGGAGCAATTTCCCCAGTTTAAAATGCCATATTTCAGGTGGGAGTGGAAATTAGCATGATGTTGACATTTCTATTTCACTGGGGGTACCATCAAAAAGTGTGCAGTTTAGATTGTGCCCACACGGAGTAATTAACATAGCATTAGTCTTTGATGTATTTAAATTCAGATTAGTGTTTTTCGACCAATTCAGCACATGTTCCAGAGTATTTTCGGCTACAATTGTCAATGCATTCAGATCATTCTGGGCTACTAGTACATTAGTATCATTGGCATAACACACCATATGTATATTAAAGTTGTTAGTCATGTTGAGATATCTTATAAGGTCATTTGCATAAACTACATAGAGAAATGGTCCCAGGATCGTGCCTTGCGGAACTCCTTGAGGTATGTGCAAGGTATCTGAGTAGAGCTGTTTAAGTTTCACAACTTGCTTTCGATTGCTTAGAAGAGACTATAAGGTGCAGGGGTACTCCCCAGACACCATATATCGATAACTTAGAAATCAGTAGTTTATGATCGACGCAGTCGAAAGCTCGTGAGAAGTCTAGAAATAGGCCTACTACAAATTTGTTGTTGTCCAGATGTTTCATTACATAGCTCTGGAATTCACAGAGAGCAGATTATGTGCTTTTCTTTTTAATGAAAACATGCTGCGATGACAAAAGCAGATTATATTTGTCAAAGAAAGCACACAGCTGGTTATTCATATTCAGCTCAAATAGTTTGAAATACTAGAAATAATGCTTATTGATCTATAGTTATTCAGATCACTCTGGTCTCCTTTTTTTGTATATTGGACACACCCTTGCGTATTTAAGTATTTCTGGAAAAATCCCCTTTTGTGCTAATAAGTTAATTAATACTGTTGACGGTGTTCATGTACTGGGACCAATTTGTTTCAGAAAAGTATTACTGAATCCATCCATGTCAAGGGATGTTGAATTTTTCAAGCTGAAAATTAATTCTAAGAGGCCATTTTTGTTATTGGGGCATATAAAATGTGTTAGAGCACAGAGGTACATTCTTATATATGAAGTCCATGTCATACACTAAGATAGCCACAGGTGCTTTGGTAAATTTAAATTTAATTCATTGGCTAATACAATTTCATCGACTGACAATGGCAAATCATTTTGATTGGTTGTCTTTTTTTGTAATGCATTGATAATTTCCCATGTCGTTTTTGTTTTATTTTCTGCCTTCATTAGAATACTATCGTAAAATTATTTAGATGCCAAATGTAGTTGTTTCTTATATACTTACTGATTTCTGCAAATCTGTCTGTAGTACCGGCTTTTCTTAATGATTTTGTCTGACACATAGGTCATTCATTACTTGCACAGTCACAAACATAAAGATACATTTTTCAATAAAACAGATGTATTCCCTATGGCTAGCTTTAATAGTTTTTCTTAAATAAGCATTTTTTTTGAAAAATGGTCGTCCTTCCTTTTTCTATGCCATAAACTCGATCAAAGACTTTTTCAAAGCGAAATCCATTTGACGACTGATAAGAATATACAAAAGATATCTTGTTTCAATTTTGTACATTTTAGCGTGTCCAAACAAATAATTTTAATGAAATAAATGTATGTACCTATCACATTTTTCTAAGTGGAAAATAATTTTTTTCATTGGATGCAGAGTTTTACCCATAAATCGTGCAATATCAAACCAAACAAGATTGAATGAAAAAACATGAATATTACTAATAGTTTTTTTTTTATGGTGTACATTCATGAATTCATAACTTAAGTTCTAGATATTTAAATTTGTCAACTGGCAAACTACAAAAGTGAAAGTTTAATAAAGGTTGATAATGAAACTTTTATAAAATATGTTCAACATGTCTTCCATTTTCTTGAATGCAGAGCTGAAATCTATGTTTGAAAGACTGTTATCCCCTGGGAAAGACAGCTGGTGTAATGCTGCGAATAGCATTCGTTATTCTAAGTCGCATATTTTCAGAAGAAATTGGTGGCTCGACGTAAAACCATATTTTTTATGTATCTCCATAAGAAAAAATCCAGTTTAGTTAAAACTTGTGATCTAGCAGGCCACCGTACAGGCCCATTCCGTCCTATCCATTTATTGGGAAATACTTCATTTAGATGATCTCTCACTTCTGCCGAATAGTGAGCAGGTGCACCATCATGTTGTAACCACATTCTATTGCGAAGGTCAAGAGGAATATCTTTTAACAAACCTGGTAAATCATTTCGTAAATCATTGTTCCATTTATATGTCCCTCAAAAAAGTATGGACCAATTACATATTCGCCAATGATGCCTCCTTAGACATTTATCGACCACTTATGTTGATAGTCCACCTGTCTTAATAAGTGGGTATTTTCTGTCAAATAATAATGGTAATTATGTCGATTCACAAATCCATTTTTATGGAATTCCGACCATAAAATCTTATTGAAAAAATATAAGTTTAGACGAATTTTTCCCATGGCCCAATTGCAAAATCTCACTTTTTTCTCAAAATCGGCATACAGTAGTTCTGGATGTAATTGAACGTGGTATGGATGAAAGCGATGTTTCTTCAAAACTTGTTGCCCTGATCTCTCAATTATATCCACTATTTCATCGATTTGTCGGTGACTCCTACTAGGATCTTCTTCAACAGCAAGAAGAACTTGCAATTCATTGTCTTCATTATTAGCTGGCTCAATGCGCTCATGTTTAGAATAATTGATACATCCCGTTTCAACAAATCCCTGTCTGATTCACCTAATATGAAAATCATATCAATCAAATCACTGTCTGATAACAACATTCTGATGAAATTATATCGAAAGTTCAACTTCACGATTCACTAAAGATTTCAATATTCATTTGCAGGCAAATATTTTGATCTGTCATTTGCCAAACTACCTGATTTTCAATAAATATTTTATTTGCTGAAGGTTGTTTTAGACCGAAAGAATATGGTACAAATTTCGAGATTATTGAAATTATTGTAAATATTCAAGAACGTACATTTTGTGGTGTAATTCACAACTCGTTCATCTAGCAACAGGTAATTTTAGGCATGGGGCGATATTTTGAGGAAAGGGTTGGACAAAAACTATGCATCAAATGAAAAATTACACGGTGTTCTATTTAGAAAATAAATGTGTTATATACATAACATATATCTCAATCACAGCCGTCACATATGGATTTCACAGTAAAAAAATCATTTATATTATGGCGATAAAATAGAGAGTTGTCATTTTTAGAAAAAAAAACTATAGGACACGCTATAATGTACAAAATTGAAACAAGATATCTTTTGTATATTCTTATCAGTCATCAAATGGATTTCGCTTTGAGTTTATGTCGTAGAAATAGGAAGCTAGCCATAGCGAATACTTATTTTCGAAGTGAAAATATACATAAAGTGTCTTTTATTTTCTATGTAGAAACCAAAAAAGCAATAA